AGTAGAGTTCTGGGAAACCTGAAAAACCTTATTGTTGAGAAAACTCACTGGATAAGTATAATACACAAACATCATGGATTACCTCTTTATTTGAACCCATAGATACATCACTCATTGTAGTTTCTCAACATTTTTTTTTGGGATGCACCCTTTCGTGTATCAAAACATTCATTTCTTTATCAATCTGCTCCTCATCAAACTTACCAACTACATTCAAACGGACACTGCCATTGCTTCATATGCCTCATTTGTTGACAGGAACACAAGTATACTCTCCATCTTCCTTCACACTGATGTTTAACACACCAGAGCTACTGCTACCAATAAAGTTGCCATTAAAGTAGAGGTTATAAGCATGAGCATCAGGGTTCCCTTCTACACCACACCTCAGCACCAATCTACTACCATGTAGCACTGTATAGTGTTTGTGGGAACAGTTGTAATCATGGTTGATGTTGCTGGATCTTTTGGACAGAAACAAAAATAACTATGATTGTTAACACAAATACTGCCAAGTGTACAAAGGTTCATCATATGATGTTACATTGTCTCCTTCAGTTGCTGGACTAGGGCGAAGTTGTATGGATGGCTGTGGTTGGTCTGTAAAGACATTTTTATCATTATATTACAAGTCTAGAGCAGTATCACTTCATTATAAGTATTAATAACTAGTATAATGAATGGAATTGCAAGTAAAATCCTGAAATAAGCTCTACATGGAATTCAGGCAAACAAATTTGTGCACATGAAGATACATGTAAACCAAAAGTATTCTCTTAGTCACTCTGCTATGATATTTTCATTATTTGTTGAAACCTTACTAGTACAACTGTATGATTCCTTGGAGAGTTTAAGTTTGGAACACTCAAGTAGCAAGCAGATTTGAGATATATTTGCCATCACAAATTTATGTCCTAGAAATCTGAATGTATGCTTAATGCAACTACAAATTTAAGGCCATAGTGTTCACTTTCAATGTCTAGTACAAACTGCCCTCTTCACTGCAATTTCCACTTACAGTGAACAGTAACATTAACTGCAGCTGTAGCTGGTGTCCCCACTGTTGTGTTACTGAACTTTGATCTTATGTGTCACGTGCGTGTGTTGTTCGGTATTTAGGCATGCGCACTGGAGAAATGGGGAGGAGAATAAAACATGGCAGTTTATGAACGCAAGCGCGCTGTTGTCTCTTGAATAACTCGACACCCACTTCATTACTGACTGTACATCGATACTGGATTATGTTGTCGGCTGTCCTGGGTCTGTTCATATCCACAATGGTTAATGATGGTAATAGAGAGAACTTTGGAACTACCAATTCTAGTCCATGATATGCTGGATTTAGGTTTACCAGATACATTAGAGCTCAATGAAAATTTTTTTAATGTTACCTCCTTCTTCTATAACCACTGCAGAGATTGACACATGCACTGATGGAGCCACTAAAATCATAACAGAGAGCAGAGAATCATTTTAAACCTCTCATCCCCAAGAGTGACTAACATCTAACTTCTCTCTCTGTCAGTATCACTGTTTAATCAGACACCTAGGTCATGAGAATAAAGAAAGCAATCATCAACCAAGGAAGAGAAAAGTTTAGTTATAAAAGCAAAGAGTTACATAAACAAACTAAAAAACTGACACAACTTCTATATAACATAAGCTAAAGGGGGTAACTTTCTAAAGAAACTGTGGTGCTGCCTCTGGTGGAGTTTCACATAGAAATATTGCTTTTATCAACCCAGTAGTTAAATGTCAATTGGACACATTAGGGGTTTCAATGCTCATGTTTCTAACATTTAACAAGCCCTTTGTCATTGCTCTGATGAAGGCCTAGTGCTAGAAACATCATTGACCTTGCCAGTTTGAGCAACCTCTTCCACAACAAGGGCCACTGACTCAGAAATAAAAATACTGTAAAAAAAACACTAGCACTTGAAAACATATATCAGGTAAAGATGTGGAGCCCAAATTGATAAACATGCATTTAGACAAAATTTTTAGTCTCCTTAATTGTAAGATGATAAGAATTAAAAGTGCTATAACTATTTCTATCTCTCAGTTTGCACCATTAGGGAACAGGCCATTTACACCATGAATAGTTAATTAGCAAGCCTAAAACAGAAAGTCAATACTTCAAGGATGGATTTGATATCTTTGAATGATTCTGATGCATTACCATCATCAACCTTGCTTCTAATAGGGAGATGACAAAATGCGGAGCCCTACTCCATGGAGTACCCTATGGAGTACCTTCATGGAGTACCCCTAAATGTCATGTATTGGTCAAATAAAATTTTTATGAACATGGTGAACCGTTTAGATGTACATATCCTAAAATATATTGAGCTTACCAGCTCTCTGAATGTCACAGTTCGATACAATCCAGTTTTTTTGGGGACAGTTGACTAGGGCTCCCAGTCTTACTGGTTCCTCCATTTTGGTTTTACCGCTGTGTAATGAGTCCTTTGATGAGAAGAGAAAAAACTCCATGTGATAAACAAAACCCACTGTTTCAATTTCTGCATGAGGTAAAAGTTAAGCTTACTGCATTTCCCAGATCAACGACCCCAGTTGGATTTATTTGCTGACCCCTCACGGTTTTTTTGGGTTTGTTTACATACCTCAATTTTATTGCGCTTCAAATAGATGGGTAAGGAGAAGCTCAGTTTTAAGATATGGGTTACCTTTTTTTAGTCTCAACCTACAAATGTAAGCTTGTATCCTCATCGTTTCGCACAATTAAGAAACCCATGAGGTCATATGTTATTAAATGGGAAGCCACACTTCTTACAGACGCCACACATAAAGAGGTATTTTGGAAGACGTAAAACCCGTTGCAGAATGAAGGTTGTCCGTCCTTTTGGCCTCTGGAAGATCATATAAAAATACATGGTAGTCGGCCTATTAACGACAACGTTCATGGATGCTAGCTACATTAAAGCTTTCCGTTGGAAGTGGTCAGCAGTTTAATGTTAATTTCAAGATGGTGGACAATTCGTGTACTACATCGAACTGTAACAATCAGAGAGCTGACAAGCTCCAAATATATCAGGATATGTACATCTAAACAATTCACCATGTTCATAAAGTATTTTATTTCACTAAAACATTATTTTTAGGGGTACTCCATCCAGGTACTCCATAGGGTACTCCATGGAGTAGGGCTCTGCATTTTGTCATCTCCCCTTCTAACATCACTTCACCTGAGTAGTCTCTTAAAATTGTAGCTTATCAAATATCTACAAAGGATATTGTGCATGCATCCTTTACAGTTATAATAATCATTAATGGCCATTAAGTACTAATATATTAATTTTTTAAATAGTCATTCTTAAGGCTGCATTCTCATTTGAAACTCACCAACAGACGTGATACAGACAGCTAGCATTGCTTCCTGCACCTACGCTGTTGATAGGAATGCAAGTGTACTCTCAATCTTCTTTCACAGTGATGTTAAACACACCAGAGCTGCTGTTACCAATAAGTTTGCCATTAAAGTAGAAGTTATATGTATGGGCAGCAGGATTGGCATCTACACCACACTTCAGCATCACTGTACTACTGCATAGCACTGTTGTGTTTGTGAGAACAGTTGTAATCATGCTTGATGTTGGAGCATCTTTTGGGTGGAAAAATCAAATAAAAGAAAATGAATGTTCGCATATTGGCAAAAGTTTAGGATTCAGCTAGAAAAATGTACAGTAAAAGACTCACAAGGTATAACTTAACTTACAGTGAACAAATTCAGTGGTGCAGTTAAAAGTAACATTTCTGATGATTCCATTCCAAGCCATACACTGGTACATTCCAGCCTGACTTCTGTTAATTGCTGTTATAACATATACACTGTCTGTCACCAGAGTCTTTCCAGACTTTATCCAGGCTGTGTGAGGTGATGGATTGCCAGTCCCATTACAATATAACGTTACATTGTCTCCTTCAGTTACTGGACTAGGGCAAAGTTGTATGGAAGGCTGTGGTGGGTCTGCAAATACATATTTATTTTCAAACGACAACAGAACAGTACTGACACACTAATACTAACACTGCTAAAAGAGTAACAGGCCTTGTGCTTATAAACCTCCAAATACATCATTTTTCCCCAAAGCCTTGCTTGTAGACTGTTTCATTTCCATTGGTAAGTATTCCTAAAACACCGACTTGAATAGAATACCCTCATGAAAACAACAATAAGGTAACAAAGACTTAATAATGTCACAGTACAAATGTTGATGGGTGAATTTTAGGCTAATGATGTTGTCATGAACAACAACTGTTATTGTAACAAAATTAATATCCTCAAGTTAGCATAGAAAGTCAGATAGACCAAACATATTCCCTTCATCTTTTGGTTTGATATTTTGATTGGTCCTTGGACAAGTCAGTGAGTGATAATATCATCATACATCATTCATTGCATTATATAATAATGAGCATATGCAGTTATCTGGCCTTAATAAATCATGACATAATTATTACCAGAAAACTACAAAAAAGTTTTACCTAGTTTTAACTCAACTAAGGGATAAAATGAAACAATAGCATTTGTACTGGCCTGTGTAAGTAAGATCAAACTTACAAACAAGAACTATCGTAATGTACATTTAGCATATTTACATTATAAGAAACTTACAAAAGACAGTAACTTGGGAAGTATCTTGAGCTAATCCCACATAATTTGCTGAAGTACATTTTTAAACAAACCCATCATCTTCTTTAATCAGTTTTGTCAGAGTAAGAGTCTCTGATGTGGACAGTGCACTATTGTTTCCTTCTTTTGTCCAAGTTATGCCAGGCTTTGGATTTCCAGTAGCATTACAGAACAGGGTCACCCCACTTCCTTCTACAACTTGATAAGCTGATGGGGCATGGTCAATACCAGGGGGAACTGCAGGGACAAATAATGGATGATGTAAGATTAGTTTCATGCATGATTACCAATATAATAACACTGTATGTTTCTTTTTGAAAAGTGACCAGTAAGAACCCACTTCTACCTTACCAGACCACAATGTTATCACAAATGTATATAATTTTCCATTGTACAGTGTTTTACTTGTTCAAAGGTCCACTGAGGACAAAAAATGTGACAGCAAATTTGGTTTATCCAACCATCCTCTCCTTATTCCTCCTAATAGTACGTGTATTCATTTTCACAACTTACAACAACAACTGTATAATTACTTGGAGAGTTAAGGAAATAATACAGGTATACAGCTGGTATTTAGAGAGACATCAGGATGTTTTACAAAAATACAGATTTGTGGCCACAGTGCTCTTTTCTTATCCACAAACTTCCCCATTTAATGCAGTTTTCCACTTACAGTGAACAGTGACATTAACTGCAGATGTAGCTGGTGTTCCCACTCCATTATTGACTGTACATCGATACTGGATCACGTTGTCTGCTCTCCCAGGTCTGGTCACATTCTTAATAGTTAATGACATCTGGTAAAATAGAGAGAACATCCAAACTACCAATTCTTGTCCATGATATGCTGGGTTCAGGTTTACCAGATACATTAGAGCTCAATGAAATCTATAACCACTACCAAGACTGATACATGCACTGATGGAGCCACTACAATCATATCAGAGAGAAAAGAAACATTTCATACTTTAAGATAACAATGGATAAAAAATGACCTAGCCACTTTCTGATCCATTTTGATCAGGTGTCCCTGAATTAGCGGTTATGCCAAAGTATTTCTGACACTTAAATAAAGTTCCTATCTCATCTTATCTTATCAAGAGATACTACTGGCACACTATTCATAATAACTCTATGTTTCTCAATTATCTAAAAACATAGTGAATAATTGTGCAACTCAAACAGTTCTTTTACAAAGCTACTGAAATAGTCATGTAATGAATCTTGGAGTTTAAATATTGACAGCATTCTTACAAAAAATTCTCACCTTTGATGTTGCAATTAATTCTGTTTCCTGACTTTCTTGTGTCCTGTAGTTTATATGATAATTATGGGAAAAAATTGAAAGTTTTTCTTTTCAGACTTGATCTACGTACCGGCCTTTGTAAAACTCTACAAGTTATAAAATCCAACCCGAGTCATATCAAATTTGCCTGAAAAAATTTACTAACCACATATATCCTTAAATATTTTTGCTTTTAGTCTCAGGGGCTGAGGACAAACTTCAGAGTAACCTTAACTGCAAACAAATGTTGACAACCTTTCATTTCAACTTTATTATCACTTAAGTTCAACCTATAATCTGACTCAATACCCACCTGTGGCAGTGATGCTGACATTAGCCTTGCTTCCTTTGCCTACTGTGTTTTCAGGAACACACGTGTACTCTCCATCTTCCGTCACACTGATGCTAAACACACCAAAGCTGCTCAGTTACCAATAAAGTTGCCATTAAAGTAGAAGTTATAAATATAAGCATCAGGGTTGGCATCCACACCACACTTCAGCATCACTGCACTATCACATAGCACCGTAGTATTGACTGGAGTTGTTAGCAGAGCTACAGCCTTTGGTAAATCTAAGGAAATGAAATTCAATTATATTTATGGCGTGGACTTGTGTGCTACCCAGAGAAGGAAAAAGATAAGGATCTATTATTAAGGTAATTGAAAGCACTTGAATGGAGGATGAAATGTTCAGTCAAGATTAACTCCTGGGTAGATAAATACTCTTTAAGTGTGTACCAAAAAGAACCAGTGTGAATACCTGTAAGGAATAACTATTGTAAGTACAAGTGTAGTAACAACAAGAGGAAACATGTGTGAATTATGACTGCAGACATTTTTGAAAGCTAATCACAGAAACATTTTGTAGTATAAATCCTCTTTCAAATAATATTTTTTAAACTAGTCTAATAATTCATTCAAATTTAGATAAACTCAAGAAATATCCTCATGGAGTATGGAGCATGATCATATCTGGGGGAACTTAAATAGAGATAAAACGAGGAACACCACAAGTATACAGTCTTCAGCATATAAAAATTATACCATGACAATAAGGAAAAAATACATAAAAAAACCATCTGTTTGAATCCAGTTCTATGTGTATTTCAGTACATACATGTAGTCTGCAAATAACCTTGACTGTGATTTCAAAACTGGATGCAATGAGTCAGGCAATTTTTGTCAAAATCATACTAGTGATATTAAACAAAGTCATGCTGGATGCTTGTTCAATTTTCAAATCATGTGCAGGATTTCAGAGCAAATCATACCCTATTCAGATCAATGACATGTACCTTAATAAACTACTACAAACACTGCTTTTGTTCTTATCTGTATTTTCAGAGTGCATGAAATTTCTAGTTATGATAAAAATCATTTATTATTCATAATTCATAAGTGGAAATCTCTAAACCTTGTATGGATATCATGCAGTTAAGAAATGAGGCTTCCTTAAAAAAAAAAACAGCATGAACAAAAATTGTGATGAAATTTAAGGATGAGCACTTCATGCCTGGCCTAATAGTCATTCCTGTGGCTTATTTAGTTTTACAATAATGTAACTCTACTATCCTTCAGTGCTACAGTATCCCTAAGCTTAAAAAAAGGATTCAAAAAATTGGCTGGATGTACAAGTAACATGATAGACACTTCATGAAAAAAAAAACTATAAATTCGATGGGTAACAGAGGTACAGAGTGGAACTCACAATGGACAGTGATGTTGACTGTGGCTGTGGATGGTGTCTCCACTCCATTACTGGCTGTACATCGATAATGGATCATGTTGTCTGCTCTCCCAGGTCTGGTCACATTGACAACTGACAACAGAGAAGTGTGAGAAAGAACTTGTAATAAGCCAGCTTTAGTCCATGCTATAACAGATGCTGGTTTTCCAGATGTATTGCATGACAGTGCGATGTTGTTTCCTTCTTTGACATAGGTTGTGGCTGGGAAAACATCTACTAAAGGTGCATCTGAAATAGATGAAAGACAAAATAACAATTACTTTATTATATGACTATTTAAGCAATACTTTTACTGGTAGTATAGCAGTGGATTGATACTTCAGTGTAATGCAGGGTTGCTATTGTTTTGCAACTAAAAATGAATCTTGGTTCCTTGGGTTTGGTTTAAAAATCAGGGGGAGCAGTTCCCCTTAGCTCTTTAGATCTTTTTTTTTTCATAGGACACAACCTGTATGATTGTGTGCAACAAGGAGGTAAAACTTAAGAAACACGAGCTGCACAGGCACATATAAATCTGTTTAAACGTGCACTTTCGACACAAATTTACCTTCATTCATCTTTTGTAGCAATAATGTACAAGAAAAAATAGTTTTCACAAAAATATCTTGATAGTGCTTCACTTAAAAAACAGAAGGTCAGGCTACTTGCCCACAAGTGTGCAAAGTTCTGTTTGAGCCTTTTCATCTATTCATTATTCTATTTTTTTTTTATTTTTTTTTTGTTTGATTCCTAATGCTGAGTGTTCCATAATTTTTCATCAGCTTCTTAAATTTTGATTTTTTAGTACATGGAGAGCTACATAGTCTAAAAATAGACAACTAATTTTCTGTTTATCTAAGAGTTTTTCTGTTTAGAACTTCCTCCAAAGTTTGCCCCCAAAAATAACAGTTGAATTCTTCTCATGATCAAAAAATACATTTATCTGTAAAAGTATGGAATTACAGTATATCTAATAGATAAAGGGGTTTTAAATCCTATTTTCACAGCCACTTTAATGTGTACAAAAAACCACTTTCTGTAGAAGGAGGAAGATTAATTTAATCAACCAGGCAATTGTCCTTAATACTTTTATGTTCATATTCATATTTATTTAGTTCTGGGTGGTTAAAAGAACAAATTTGTAGAACAATTTTTTTAGTTACCGACTGCTATGACAGCAATGGTGGTATTGCCACCAGTACCAACTGCGTTCAAAGGTACACAAGTGTACACTCCATCTGCTTGAACTATGACAGTATACTTACTCAAGTTGTCCATACCAATAAAGGTACCATTAAAATAAAAGTGATACACATGTGGCACAGGGTTGGCATCTGATTTGCAGCTTAACACCATGTTCCTACCACGTAGTACAGTAGTGTTGGTTGGGCAGGATGTAAAACTCATCCCATTTGGCTTGTCTACAAAACAAAAAAGATAACTAAAAGGGTTGTCTCACTGCTTACATCAAAATGTTCCAAAGCTGATGAATAAGAAGCCACCAATTTGCCAAATGAGACTGAAATATATGTATGATGAATGATCTCATGTATGATCTCATGTGGTGTCCAACAGGGGTCTGTGCTTGGCCCTCTGTTATTCTTAATCTATATTAATGATATTCATAACTCTTCAGCGAAATTGTCATTCTATCTCTTTGCTGACGACACGAGCTTGTTGTATGCTGACTCTAATTTGAAATCTCTTTAAAAAACCATCAATAGCAAACTGCTCAAAGTCTCTGACTGGCTCAATGCAAATAAGTTAACTGTGTTATCTTTCGTCCATATCAACGTAAGTTGAACTACTTGGATAACATTAAAATGATTGATAACTCAGTACTCAAATTCCTACCATGCTTCAGTGCGAAGACCATGTCAAATATCTTGGCATCCTATTGGACAGCAATCTAAGTTGGAAATCTCAAATTAATAATGTTGCGATGAAAATAAGCAGAACTGTTGGTGTTCTTGCCCGTCTTAGGCTCTTCATCCCATGTAAAACCCTTTTAAATATCTATCAGTCATTGATCTTGCCTCATCTGACATATGGTTTGGCAGCTTGGGGTCAAGCTGCCAAAACCCATTTACAAAAAATTCTCATGCTTCAAAAACGAGTTCTTCATTTGATATACTTTTCTGAGAGCCCATGTTGTGCCTTTATTTATTTCCTCAAAAATTCTACCTTTACAAATGTTATATGCTGAAAAAGTATCTTCTATAATGTTTGACGTTTCCTGCATGAATGCTCCATCTAACATCTGTGACTTCTTTACTAAAGCTAATTCAAAGCACAAGCATGAGACCACGTTTTCTTCATCTGGAAATTATTATGTTCAAACTTCAAGACTGAATCTAAATCAAGATTCTTTTTCCAGGTTTGGAGTTAAACTTTGGAACACAATGCCTAACGAATTTCGTCGACTCTCCAAAGGGGCTTTTAAGAAAAATTTTCATGACTCTTTGCTCTCAATAATGGAAGCAGAGGACGATTATGTTGAAGTGCCCATTCTTCTACAAAAAATGGCAAATTCTGTATCCTTGAATAAATGTACTAATAATCAATAGGTTCTGTTAGGGATAAATTTGATTGTAATACTATTCTGTAAGACTATATATTTTGTAACCCTAGCTTATTTTTCAGTAATTCTTATTTATCCAGATTATAAGCTTACTTAGTTACAGTACTTTACAATTATTAGCTAGTTAGTTAGTTGGTTAAATAGGTAGTTAGTTAGTTACTTTACAATCATTATATTATCTGTTATGACTGCTGTAACCTTACCTCTCCGCCCGCCTCGTATAGCTTTTGCTATTGCGGGTGGAGATGGTAAAATGATGTGCATGAAATAAAGTTTGATGATGAAATAGCTCCATGACAAGTGAGAACCACTTCTTTCCCACTTAATTAATTATCACCTATGGAAACCACAGGAAGCATCATCCTGGTTATTAAACCCTCCAACCCCCTATGATCTAGCAGGTAATTACACCTTTAGCTTAGCCTAATTAATTCATATTTCCATGTTAAAGACTTTTAATAGAATCTCAATTAACTTGGTATCCAGATAATAACATCTGGTTGGTGGTTTTGTCAATCTACTTTTCTTATAGCACTAGATTATGAATTGGATTAATTAATGTGAGAAGTTTTAACTGCTTTCAAATAAAACTTCCAGTGGTTAAAAGCATCAGAGAGGTATTAGAGTGCTATCCACTAAGAATTTGAGACTTATTGAACACAAGGTCTATTTAAGTAAGCTAGGGTACCCTGTTGACCTATCCTCCTGTTTTCAGTTTTATCAAGAAAGTTCTATGCTTTTAAATCACGAACTTCTCTGAGTTGAGTGGTTTTTTTAAACTTATGTGAGATAGCTTGGCTCTGACAACCTATAAGCATGTTGCTCAGTGAGTACAACATTCACACACACAGATATAGACATTTGACCCCCATTTCCTGTCCTCTACTTTGTAACATTATAGATCATGTTTTAAAAGAACTAGAATAACCTGCAATTATAGCAGCTCCAGGATACAATACAACATTTAAGCTAGCCTTTTGACAAAATAAACAAGAACAGGTGTAGAACACCAGTATTCATTGATCATGCCTTGAATGTTGCTATGTATCATAATTTTTACAAATTCTTTTTGACTGATTTCTACTCACATTGCACATTAAGGTACGCACTGGGATTGACAGTGACACTCAAGCCATTATCAGCTGAGCACCAGTAGTATCCTGATTGATTCCTGTAAATGGAAAGCTAAGCATGTCTCCTGTACCAACAGTTCCTCCATCCTTCTGCCACTTGATGACAGGGGCTGGAACACCACTAACATTACAGACATATGTTACTGTGTCTGTTTCATTGATAGTCTGGTCACTTGGTGCACTAACAAACTTGACAGGCACTAAGAATGACAACACAAAATGTGTCCTTAGTTAAATATTTAACAAGAGAGTGTTAGTGTCTAAGAAATTACTCGTTGATTTAATTTCATATTTTGTCGTAACATATGGGTACACACTTTTACAGTATGTAAACCTTCTCTACAGTAGCTTGGCCTAAATCTGCCTACCCACACTTCAATTAAGAAACTTTTATGACTAGAGCTACAGGAAAAATCATGAGTGACATAGATTTCTTCTTAAAGTTCTTGAATTTTCCTAACCTTGACTGATTCATTTAATTTTCCCTGCACCATGACAACCATGATACAGAGCAAGCCAGGGCTAAGTTCTTCAAAGGACAGATCACCTTACCCAGTGGCTATTAATCCCTTTCCAGCAGATAAGTAGTAACAAAACATAAAGCACTGTCCAGTGGATAGAGACTTAACCAGTGGATAGCATTATCCACCTTTTGAACAACCACGCCAGGTCTTTGATTTACTAATCCCAAATGTTGGTGTGTTTCAGAACATTTCCAATGTGAAGCAAAAAGAAATGGTGGCATCAAGGTATACTAGCTCGTTCATTTTCTTTAATTGATTCATCAGTTACAGGTCCATACAAAGGTTACACACTGATAACTTCTTTCATGCTGAAGAAATTTTATCCACAAGTTCAAAGATTGACAAATGTTATCCCATTACATTACATAACTCACTGGGCTTGAGTGATGCCCCGAAATTCACTATCATGTCAAACACTGGAAAACTACAACAAGACATGAGCAGACTTTTGTTGTGTCTTCACTCGAAAAGCGACTCTAAACTTTTAAGATACGACCTTTAATACTCAACGATTAAACTAAAACTGACCAGCAACTTACAACACATGCGGTTAAAAACAACAATGCTAAATAAGTTCATAACAGTTCTGGGTTACGAAACTCCCGCGGGATTTTAAGCAAATTAACATAACAACTTTGAGCTCATTGTACAGGGATACATTCAGTGGGGCTATTTACAAAGATAACCATAATTTAAAATGTTAATTACTGTGATCCTTTTTAACATGTTTTGTAGGAAACTTGATTAGAAACATTCTAGTTATACAACTGTAGATAAAGTATCTGTAATCAACACAAAATTTTATCAACAATTATAGTCCAGGTAGTGCATTATTATCCATTAATTTTGACACTACATTTACTCTTTTGACTTTCAGTTCACAATAGTACAGTGAAACCTTTATCAAGTAGTCACCCTGGGGATCTCCTCAAGTGTTGGCTAAATAGAGGTTTGTAATATAATTGCACAGTGTTTGTTAACAATTGGCATTTAAGGGTTACTCTGTACTGTGGTAAAGTTCTGTGGGGTCAACAAAGCTATCCAGTGATCAAGTTTATTACTTTTCGTTACCAACTCAAATTTGTTGGTAATAATGCAAAAACATAACAGTAAAACAGCAATGACTACATACACAGTACATCAACATATATTGATTACATTTAATCAACAATTTTGAGGATGTAATCCCATTCACTATATTGTGAATTCAGTCTGGTTTCCCCTTGATTGAGGTTCTTAATGATACAAATAAGCCAAATATAATTTATATTGAGGTGTCTGCTGAACAGGACTTCAACATAAAAAGAAATGTAAGGCAGCATTCACACTTGGTGACCAAGCATTTGTGCCAGGGTAATGCCACAAGATGTGTTCAGACACTGGGTACCTGATATATCAGTACACAATTCAGTGCCAGTGCATAGGCACGGTGCTCAAGTTCTGGCATGAGTGCTTGAAGAAAACTTGTGTTCATATTAGTGCCATCTGGAATCATACACAGGCACCATTACTCAAGCACCAAGAGTGAATGCAGCCTGGCTTAGCGTCCACTCAATAAAGGGTGTTTGCTTGAATAGAAGTTTCACTGTATTTGATAAGATAGATAAGATAAGATAATGACTTTATTTTAAGAGGGTAGCACGTACCAGTTTAAGTACAACTGATGACCCCATGGCCCTCTATCCCCACCCATCCCACCCCAGGAGAGGACATCCATCACACAGTAATCTCATGCATGGGAAATTAGCATCTCCTGCCCCTAACCCTAAAGGAGACGGGACCTCCATTTATTCGTCCCTATCCGAGAAGACTAGAATATCTAACCATTTCTTGATGTTATAGAAAGGTAGCAAATTCTTCTCAGTTATTTTAAGACCCTGAGTGTTGGTCCGGCCGGGGCTCGAACCCTCGACCTCCCACACAACAGTCCAGCGCTCTATCCATTGAGCTAACCAGGAGGCGGTTTTTTTGGACAAATCAGCGTGGCCTTTTAGTCCAAGATGGAAGATAAAGTGCAAGTATACAGTCATAACGATTGATTGTCTAATAATGATTACTTACCAAGAACAATCAGGTCGATTAAGCTTTGGGTTCTTTTCGCTGACTCTAGCTCAACTCCTTAAGTATACGTCCCAGCATCGACAACACTTACATTGCGGATTATCAACGTGGCTGGCCGCTCGATCGCAAAACGAATTCACAAACTTTAGTAGGATAATTTGTTCACCAGGATTGTAACGTCGACATCGCCAGCAGCCTCTGTGAACAAAAATATGTACACGTGCTGTGAAAAAGCGATTAAAATACACTTGAAATAAACATAGAGAATTGCAATATTTTGCTTCAGTGTATTTGATGATGAACAAAACGGACGCTTAATTGACGTTTATTTCCTTTCGATTTTGGACGAAGACGAAGCAATTCAGCAACAAATAGCTTAACAAGCCTTGATGCGCCCAAAGATCGTACCGATTAGCAGACTTCTTTTCAGCAAGATAACCATAGTAACAAACCACCAATAAGTGAAAATCCACAAAATCTCCATCAGTTTTTGCACAAATGTCAGATTCTCCCATAGAACTACTTCAATACTTCTTTACAGTAACGACGCGAAATCTTTCAGGGAGCTGAAACCATTCTACTAGCAATTACCATAACCATCGAACACCGTATTCCCAAGCCATAAAACAAAAATCTTACATACGAGAATATTTCAATTAATGATGTGGTGTGAAACTACAATACTAACCAATCCTGAAGGCGACACTTCTGACATTGTCCGCAACAATCACAATGGAATCGCTGTTTACTCCAAGTAACAACATACAACTATGAAGAGTCCAATGGGAGAAGAAAAATTTCACCCTCGCGTCTTCATTATGTTCAAGGTCTTCAAGGTAACATACCCAACTCTCAGTCGAGCGAAATACTGACAAATAATTGCATTTAATTTGAAGGGATTTCATATCAATAACAGATACGATCGCCATCAACACCGCCATTTTGCTTCAGCTTAGCTTCCCGCCGAATACTCTAGTGCCTAGTCTTTGCGCACCAAGTTGCTACTTCGCTGATGAGATAGCCTCCTTTGTAGACGTTCTTTGGGTGACGAATTAAAAAATCTCGGGGGAGAATTTTTAACTTGACACCCAAAGAACGTCTGTAAAGGAGGCTACTGATAAGTAATGAAGGGAAAAAAACACCTATTGATCGAAAGGGTGACAGAAAATAAACAAATCGAAAATATGAAAATAGTTTAGCGTATGCCGAGTGTGCTTCTAGTAATTCATCGATGATTACAATACCAGCAGTCCTTCCTTTTCGGGTAAGTCCGTGGCGTGCGTCTAAAAGCGAAAAACGAACTTTTTAACCGCAGGGAGCACTTGGAGTGAGCCGCTCGAAAAGAAAGCGCGTGCAAGCATCGATTTTTCTTTTCTTTGATTTCTTGGGACTTGAGCGACGGACCCAGTCACCCAAAGGGAGCGCTTGCTTAAAGTCTACATCGATATATACGTTATTTCAGAACTCGTGTCCCTTATCCTCATAATTTGGATCTATCAACAAAGTTGAAATGGTAAATTGGCCACCGTAACGATTACAAAAGCTAACGTTTCGAGCGTTTCTACTCGTCGGAGCGAATAGAGGAGTTGTGGGTTGTGTGTGCTTTTAAAGGCAGAAAATGGAGCTACGTTGTTGGTGGGAACATGGCAACGAGAAAAACATGAATAAATTAGTGGAATGAAAAGCGTTCGTTGATCCCTGTGGGATTTAGACTGCCGGTTTGAAAGATGAGCTTTTGTTCAAGATTTTTACGGCTTTCCGTGC